CAAAAAAAAAAAAAAATAAAATAAAAACAATTATAAGTCGGGCATGGTGGTGCATGCCTGTGATCCCAGCACTCGGGAGGCAGAGGTAGGAGGATCGTCGTGAGTTTGAGACCAGCCTGGGCTACAAAGTGAGCTCAAGGCCAGCCTGAACTGCGTAGCGAGACCCTGTCTCAAAAAGACAGAAAATAAAAACAAAATAAAAATAATCATAAGTAAGGAGAATTACCACTGAATTTGAAAATTAAAACTTTGATTCAATTTCTAAATTGAATTGTAATGCTGGTAAGTCACTTAATTTTGATGACTTTTTCTCACTCTTAAGTAAAATACAGAAATAACATACTTCTCAACATGCTTTTCATAATTTAAATATGGTGTCATATATAAGTTTCTTAATACAGTACATAGAAACACTACAGAGATGATTTTCTTACTGTTACGTCCTTAGCATTTGGCTGCATGCCTGGTACATAGTGTGTGCTCAACAAATATTTATTGAATTTGCTATCATTTAACCTAGAGGTCCACTCTTAGGCGTTGTTTTTGGCCTGGAAAAAATCCAAAAGATTTGTAGTTATCATAACAAAATAATGCAAAAAGGGATTAAATAATCGACAGCAAGTACATATTTGTAATAGTATACTTTGTAAATATTTTAGGAGGAGCAAAACAGAGGCAAGCCCAACTGGGAGCACCTAAATGAAGATTTACATGTACTAATCACTGTGGAAGATGCTCAGAACAGAGCAGAAATCAAACTGAAGAGAGCGGTTGAAGAAGTGAAGAAATTACTGGTACCTGCAGTAAGTAAGAATTCAAAAATCTCAAATTTAGGCCTCATCTTCTCTTTTTTGTTCAACTTTAAATTACTGTAAGGTTTATGTTAAAAGGCAAGCTACTTTTGGAGGTTTTATTTAACTACAAAATACAGAAAATAACTTTCGACCCATTAAGTGAAGTAGAGTAGACAAGCATATTGCACAAATTCTTAACTGGGGCTGTCTATTTTTATGAGGAAAGTAGTGTGGGAAGAAGAGCAAATCAAATTAATAGCCTATTTCTCAAAATAATACTCAACTTTTGGATGATTGTATTTTAATGGAAAAATACAGATACAGCATCTGTAGGAGGACGGACGGACAGATGGACGGATTGATTAATTGATTGATTGGTTTATTTATTTATTTAGAAGAGCAGTTAAGTAGTATTTAGAACTCTGTAGAACTAAAGCTTAAGTTTGCTGAGCTGAATAGTAGAAGAACATTAATTGAATTCCCTTTGGGAATAAGGTACTCTCCTAGTGTATCATTATCTCCCAAAGAAAGAGTATTATTTCTAAGATAATAAAAATTAGTTTGTGTTCTTATCCTCTATTCCCTTTTATTCTCGTTATATAATTCTTTAGTAACTTTAGAAATGATAATTGAACTATTACCACAGTGTTGTCATTTTTCAATGGGAAATGAAAAATTAACTGGGTTTTCTCTTTCATTATTAAAATAGTTTCTCATTATTAATAAAAGTATATGGAAGTGTGGATTCTAACTTGCTATTGGAAAAACTAGGAGTACTGTTAGTATTGTGTCCAGTAAAAACGTGTTGACATTTACATAAATGACTATGGCATCTGCTGTTTTTATTTACCAGATAATCTGTTATTTATTTTCCCGATAGACTGTTTTATAAATCTTAAACATTCCATGAACTTGACAAAACTAATTCCTTAGGAGAAAAGGATTTTTTGTAAATTGTTGTATAAGGAAAGTAAGCAGGCAGGCCAGGGTAAAAGTGATATATCTGTTTGCACAATGTTAGATTGTATAGTCGTCTTCCTTTTTTTTTGACAAATTCTGGAAAATCCTTTATAGAAGGTGGGATTTTTGTAAACATTAGCTTATTCGTTCCATGATCAGAAAAAACTTTTACGGATTTATAGTACTAAATATAGTAAAACCTTGGTTTGTGGGCAGAATTCGTTCCAGAGACATGCTTATAATCTGAAGCACTTGTATGTCAAAGCAGAATTTTCCATAAGAAAGAATGGGAACTCAGATGATTCATTCCAGAATTCCAAAATACTCATATAAAATACAAAATACAAAGAGGACTAATCTGCACTTACCTTGGCAAATTTTTGTGTCTGGTGTGAAAGATCTGAGAGAGAAGTGTTATTGTGTAGGATGACTTGCACCATCATTAACAGAATCACTGATGTCTATTGGCTCAATGGAATCTTTCTTTTTGTGCAACTTTAACAAGGAAACTATCCAGTGACACTTAGTTTTAACTCATTTTGAGGATTTCATGGACATGACATTGCAAATCGGTCACACTACTGTAGCCTTATTCAAGTAGTGCTTTTTACAAAATTTTGCAGTTTCTCATGTTACACATTTCCCTAATCTCTCTCTCTTTTTTTCGTACCGTGAATTGAACTCAAGACCTTGCAGTTGGCCAGGCAAGCACTGTGCTGCTAAGCTATATCCCTGCCCCCCAATCTCATTTGAAGTGAGGGATTCCACTGTCTTTTTCTCTTTATTCTTCTGCAGGTGAGATCTCCATTAACATTTTGCTGCTGGGAGATGATCACCCACAATCCCTGGGGTTAGGATGGGGGTGGGGGGACAATTGGCTCAGTTGTGATAATGTGACTTTCAGTGTCACATACTAATATTGCATATATTGCTCACTATAAAATTAAAATTTATTAGAAATGTTTGCTTGTCTTGTGGAATACTTCCAGAACAAGTTACTCGCAATCCAAGATTGTACCGTTGTCTTGGTTACTTTTTTCTTGTTGCTGGACAAAATACCTGATGCCCAAAATTAAGGAAGGAAAGGTTTATTTCGCTTACAGTTTGTGGAGGTTTCAGTCCATACTTGGCAGAGAGCTGCAGCTCATGGCAGCAAAACACAGCAAAGCAACAAGCACACACACAAGGGAGGAAATGGCCAGAAGCACAAAAGCCAGGAAATGGCCCCAAGCAGCCTCTTGCTCTCTCTTACATATGCAAACTATCTACCCCAGAGTGGCTGCAGCTCTCACACCCATAATCCATCAAACTCTAAAAACCTGCCCCATGACCACAAGAGGCTTTGGGGGGTCACCCAGACACAAACCATAACAACCGTATATCCAAAAGTGTGCAACTCATTGTACTAAGTTTTCACGTTATTATTGATATTTAAAAAATGAAAGTTACTCATGTGCAAAAGCTAAAAACAAATGAGTTGTTTGGCAGTGCAGGCCTGTAATCCCAGTACTCAGAGGCTGAGGCAGAAGCTATCCCAAGTCTGAGCCCAGCCTAGACTATTTAGGGACTTAGCAGGATTATGTCTCAAAGTCAGAAAAAGCAGAGGGCTTGGAGATTTAGCTCAGTGGCAATGCTCTGGGTTCACTTCCCAGTTTATAAAAGAAAAATTGATCCTATAGATGTAGAAAGTGAAATAAAGGTCACCAAAGTGCTGGTAACAGGAAAGTGAATGGAGGGATGATACAAAGAGATTAAAGAACAGATACAAAATTACAGTTAGATTAGAGAAATAAGTTCTAGTGTTCTGTAACACGGTAGGGTAACCATAGTTAACAGTAAGTTACTGTTGCCTAAAAGTAGCTAGAAGACAAGACTTTCAGTGTTTGTCTGTAGGTTGTCATGATAGTTTTATAAATTCCCCTGTATTTGTAAAACCATGCATTCTTTCACTGTAACATACAACCCACATTTGTGCTTTCTGTTCCCTTAAGACTTGGGCAGATTGCCAGTGTCTTATTGTCTCTTCCTTATGTACCTAAGCTATTGGCCTTTAGGTGTTTTATGAGTTCTCTTATTTTTATGAACAAGCACTTCTGCCTCACCTCTGTAGTTTATTTTCTGTTTTTTAAAACTTAATAAATGGTTAAATGAAAATGTACATTGCTGTGTAAGTAGAAAGAAAAATTATAAATGCTTATAAGAGAAGCGAAGAGGTTCTGTCATGTTGTAAGTTTTTGTTTGAAACTTTTTGTTTCAAATATTATCTAAAATGGTGGAAAAGGACTAACTAGGTTTCAAAAGATAAGGGGGAAAGCTACAGTAATGTTCGATTGTAGAGTATGTTTAGAGAGTCACAGTTCAGCTTTCTTGATTATATGAATGTGAGAAATCTTATAGAATGCATGTTGTGACCAAGTAATGCTGTTCATGTTTGTCAAGAGTGAACTTTTTTTTTTCCTGTGAAAGTTTAATCTTTTTGGAGAAGATGCAGAATAAAGTAGTTTTAGAAGACCTTTACTGGCAATAAGGAATTAGTTTAGAGAGTAGGTAAAGTTATGAGGTAAGAGAATGGCAATGTGGAGTGAAAAAACAAATGGAAGAGAACTACAGAACTTTGCAGTTCATCGGATTAGATGTAGAAACCAAAGGGGGAAAATTTTGGTGGTGAATTGGGGTTTCATGCCCCAGGTATGAGGGGAAAAAAGTACCATTAACAGAAACAGTAGAATCAAGATGAAAACAATATGTTTATGCGGGAAGATCAACAGCAGTGATTCCCAGCTTTAGAGTGGGCTTTTGTAAATGTGTTGAAAAGTGTATCTGCCCACAATAACAGACAAATAAATGTAAAGAGTTTGCATTAATTTCAAAGCATTTATGAACCCCTAAGGCTCCATATTGCTAGGTTCTTGGACCAAGGTCCCCCCATCATCCTACTCAGTATAGAAAAACAGTGGTGCTTGCAGTTGAGGATTGTGTATTGAAAAGGTTATGAATCATTTCCTGGCAATTAAGAAAAACTATATTTCAACTTTTGTATATTTAATATGATAGAGACTTTTCATGCTTAAAAATTCTTCCCTTCTACTAAGCATGCAGAAATACAACTGCTCCCCATTTCCATGCAGTTTGTGATGGCTCTGAGCAATACAGTATTTCCAGGCTGAAGCATTTAGTTCTCTTGTTCTCTTCTTTCTGTACCTTTGTGCCTGAAGAAGCATTCATTCCAGTGGTAAAGCAACAAAATAGTAGAGACTCACTGAGCCTGGGGCCCTGAGTGACAGTGCAGAGTACAGCTATTTTCTCTCTCAGCACATGTGAAAATAGTGTAAGGATGAAATACATATTTGTTAGATTAAACCTTTGAGATTGAGCTTCTTTGCCATATAATGTAACCACTATGGAAATCAGTATGGAGTTTCCTCAAAATCTAAAATTAGAAATTTTGCTGGATGTGGTGGCACATTCCTGTAATCTCAGCACTCTGGAGGCTGAGGCAGGAGGATCAATTCAAATTCAAGGTCAGCCTGGGATACAGAGTGAGCTCAAGGCCAGCCTGAACTGCATAGCAAGACCCTGTCTCAAAAAGACAAAAAATAAAGTAAAATAAAATAAACTTAAGAAACTTCTTTCAAACCAGCTATTCCCCTTCTGTATATATATCTTCCTAAGTTAGTTATCATATTACAGTACCACATGCCTACCCATGGTAAAGCAGCACGATTGATAATAGCTAAATCTCAAAAGTGGCCTGTATGGCCATCAATAGATAAATGGATAAAGGAAATACATATTTATATATATATACATATATACATACACACATACATATAGTGGAGAACTACACAGTCATAAAGAAGGATCAGTTTGAGTCATTTGTAGGAGAATGGATGGACCTTGAGGCCATAATGCTTAGTGAAATAAATCAGATAGAGAAACTTAAATATCATGTGCTTTCTCTTATATGAGAAACTCAAAATGCAAGTAATTTAGAGCAAAAGAAAAGATAACTAGGAAACAGTGAGGTATACCTTGTGCAGAACAGAAGG